TACATATAGCTGCCTTCCTTATGAAATGTTAATAAAGAGTAATAATATGTATTTACCTGAATCGGTTTGTTTTTGTTCTATATGATATGTGTTATAAATACTATATGTGTGTATGTGTATGTGTATGTGTGTATATGTATATATCAGATATATATGTGCGCGCGCGCGCGCGCGTGTGTGTGTGTCTGTGTGCGTGCGTGCGTGCGTGCGTGCGTGCGTGTGTGTGTGTATGCGTATGCTTATGCGTGTATGCGTATGCGTATGCGTATGCGTATGTGTATGTGTGTACGTGTACGTCTGCGTAGTGTACGTCTGCGTGTACATCTGCGTGTATGTGTATGTAAACGTATACGTGTATGCATATGTGTACGTGTACGTGTATGTGTGCGTGCGTGTGCGTGTATGTGTATGCGTATGTGTATGTGTGTACGTGTACGTCTGCGTAGTGTACGTCTGCGTGTACATCTGCGTGTATGTGTATGTAAACGTATACGTGTATGCATATGTGTACGTGTACGTGTACGTGTGCGTGCGTGTGCGTGTATGTGTATGCGTATGTGTATGTGTATGCATATAATATCAAGAGCGTATTAAAAAGACCTTCTTAATACGCTCTTGATAATATGTACATATATATATATATATTATAACATACAAACGCAGTCACATGCACACACGCACACATACACACACTATCAAGAGCTAATAATAATTATTAGCTCTTTATAGTGTGTGTATGTGTGGGTGTGTGCATGTGACTGCGTTTGTATGTTCTACGTGTGTCCGTAGGTGCGTGTGCATGTTTAGCATGGCCATATAAAATTTGGTATTCACCTTGTTTGATGAAAACATTTTATTGTACTCGATCATCAGAAGTTAGTCACGACTGTTCCTGCCATATTTTGCCTTTTAATTATCTGCTTAAATTTCGTTTTTTACCGTGATATCCAAATCGGAATTCTCTTCCCTGCTATCTATTAAATCTTAAAAAGAAACCGTTTCACCTGAAATTCACAGTGTTGATCTGTCATTTTGATCAAAGTTAAATGTTGAGTGTAGCGACTCTCTTCCTTTTCATTACAGATCCTTGTGAAAAAAAATATTAGTTACAAGGTTACATATATATACGTGATACGTGATACATGATACGTACACGTCGCATCATTCATGCTTTAAAGTACTGAAACTATGTCTGGATCTTTTGATCTTTAAAGTACTGAAACTATGTCTGGATCTTTTGTACATTAATTTTTATCTATGCTGATAAATAATACATAGGGGTGAATAAATACAAAATAACATGATAATACTTAAACAATGAACATCGAGGCTGACTTGCTCGTAAATTAACCAAAATTGCAGTTATCACCGCGAAAATAATATGGAAACATGCAAGTAAATGATTTAATATAGTTGGTGTTTATATGTATATATGTATTTCTTACATAGTAGTTTTATACATAAATTTAGAGAATAAAAAGATTGTGTCAGAAGTGGGATTCGAACCCACGCCCTCATACGAGGACCAGAACACCCACGCCTCCTATCGGAGAAGCTTTCGCTTGAGTCTGGCGCCTTAGACCACTCGGCCATCCTGACATACATGATATGAACAACGAATGGCGCTACTGGTACGTGAGCAGCGAGTTTCTGTAATATTCTGTCATATGATCTTGCAGCGCCATCTTTTATCACAACACGCAGCGTCACTAGCAACCGGTCTGTTATTATATATGAAATTGAAACAACCTAAAGTTTGTACTATGCCTTGTATCTAATGAGTTATGACTACTAAGGTGAATATTTAGTTATTAATTGAAAATAGCTTCTTAATATTATTCATAATTTACAACGCATGTAATGGAAATTGAAGATATTCAGCGATTTCAGCCTGATTCATTGGCGATGTCATTCAACTTAGGCTAACTGACGTTAGTTTTAGCAGATGGGGTCGTTGTCGTATCAGTTACACAAAGTGTACCATACTTGTACTACAGAAGTGTACCCTAACCCTAGCCCTAGCCCTAACCCTAACCCTAAACATACCTCATATAAAAATATAAACATACTATAGTACTAAACTAAACAACCTAAAACTACCTTGGGTACAGACTGTAGACTGTAGTACCTGAGGCTGATAGTGATGCTCATAGGGTCTATGTCCCCCAGGGTACTACCGGAACGTACCCTGGTCACTATTTGATATGGTTAGGGTTAGGATTAGGGTTCGGGTTAGGGAGTAGGCGTAGGCGACTCCCTAGACTCGTTAGTGGAGTAGACGAGGTACGGTCCGGCATATTAGATAATACCAGGGTTCGTTCCGGTATACCGTACCGTACCCAGGTTACGTTCCGGCAGTACCCCGGGGGACATAGACCCTCTCAGCGATAGTGATAGTGATACGACAACGACCCCATCTGCTGTAGTACCGCTCATAGGGTCTATGTCCCCCAGGGTACTGCCGGAACGTACCCTGGGTACGGTCCGGTATACCGGAACGTACCCTGGTAACTATTTGATATGGTTAGGGTTAGGGTTAGGGTTAGGGAGTAGGCATAAGCGACTCCCTAGACTCGTTAGTGGACTAGGCGAGGTACGGTCTGGCATATATTAGATAGTACCAGGGTACGTTCCGGTATACCGGACCGTACCCAGGGTACGTTCCGGCAGTACCCCGGGGGACATAGACCCTCTCAGCTGTAGTACTCTCGTACTGTAGTACTCTTGTAGCCTCGAGACCTACAACACTGGTAGTAGTACTACATATATGTACCCGAGGTAGTTTTAGCCATTTAGGTTGTTTAGTATTACGTTTTTATTCTTTATATATGTTTTTAATTCTGGTACTGACGCACGAAGGGTCGTTGTCGTGCTAACGACCCTTCGTGTGTTAGTTTAGCACCCCGGATTAGTTTAGCACATATCGTACCGGGGTCCCAAACTATGAGTATAATTAAGCAACATCATCTGCGTCTAGTGACTCTATAGTCTCATATACCTACTACTACAGCTGCCAAGGTCTATGTCTCCCTGGGTACTGCCGGAACGTACCCTGGTACTATCAAGAGTAGATAATAAACACACGTGTTTATTATCTACTCTTGGTACTATCTACTATGCCGGACCGTACCTCGCCTACTCCACTAACGAGTCTAGGGAGTCGCCTATGCCTACTCTCTAATCCTAACCCTAACCATATCAGATAGTTACCAGGGTACGTTCCGGTAGACCGGACCGTACTCAGGGTACGTTCCGGCAGTACCCAGGGAGACATAGACCCTATCAGCAGAGCACTACTACATGCGTGACCATCAAGCCTTGTTACTAGTTACTCAATACTTCGTGTTCTTTAACTATTAAGCTTTAACTAAATTTGTGTATTTATACGTTTTAATTGTTTACAGACATCTATACCTTCACGTTTGAGCGTACATGATAATTGACAGTGAATCAATGAATGCACAAACATATTTTTAGCTCACCTTGACATCGTCAAGCTGAGCTATTGCCATGGGTTGTCGTCCGTCCGTCCGTCCGTCAACATTTCGCTTCGGTCAACGATAACTCAGGAACCGTTTGGCCCACATGTTTGAAATTGGGTTTAGTTGTTACTGCTATGCTCCCATATTAAACGTCTTATTTTGGAGCACGCCAGTCGACGTACTTTCGAGCCACGGCAATTTTTTGGCAAAAATGGGAATTGCCATTAGTCAGTTCAGGTTCAACGGATTTTGCTCATTTTTGGTATGTGAATGAATAAGGGCTAGGGGTTTTGATATTGAAAAAAAAATTATGCAAATTAGGTAGGGTTTGGCAATTATATAGCATATTATATAGACACAAACAGTCTGTGGTGTCACACTCGTCTGGTTCGTTTTACAAGATTTCATTGACAATATCTTTAATGCAAAATTGGTATTTCCTCTCCACCCTGCCGATAAAACGTCTATATTAGAGTAAAGATTTACAAAACATGTCGGAACGCAGCATAACCTATTTATTTCAAATGCCATCGCTACAAAGCAGGTATAGCGCCATCTACGGTCACAAATTGTGATTCATTTTGGTTTATAAATTATTATTGCGATATACAGATGGCAATCGTTTCTATAATGTACGTCGATGGTTGCTCAATTAAAAATGACTTCTTCTTACTCACTCATTTGTGTCCTTTTTTGTGGTGAGCTACAGTGTCATTGACACTTTCATTACTTATACTTTTAGGTACTGAAGCAGCATGGTCTACAACATCAGCTAAGAACAATGCGATAAGTGTAAATGGTGCAGGCCTTATATCATCCATTGCAGAGAATTTTTGAAATTGTTATTATGATATGATACCAGTGGCAGTGGCTGCAAAGCCCGTGACAATGTCAAAGTCAAAACTAATGTACAAGAAGAATTTACAGCCTTTGCAGGCTAAGATATCAACTGAAAAAAAGGTTGATGTCATTGCTATTTCTAAAGATCTGTATACTGTACATGCAGTTAATAAGATTCTACTCCACAGTAGTCAATTTTCCAAAACAAAAAATAATAATGGAACAACTGAAAAGAAAAGTAATAGGTTCCAGAAAGAACAATTGTTTGAAAAGAAGTGTCAACAAGCAAAAGATGCGGAACGTGCTAACCGTCTGAAGTGGCAGGGAAGATGTGAACCTGATGATCGCAGCACTCCAGAGGAGGTGATCCTTGAACAACAGCAGCAAGACTGGATCAAACACAAGGCTACACGTTTCCAGAAAAGCAGTTGCAGTTTGGGTAATGGTACAGTTCGAATAGTGCAGAGAACAAGACGAGTTCCGCATGAGTCGCGACATATAAATGTCGATGAAACATTTGATGTGTGCAGTAATGATGAATGGGCACAGCGCCACAGTGCATTGCAGACGTTTCAGCAATGTGTCAAACGAGTGATGCTACAATTACGTGCGGAACGACGACTGATACAGATCCGCCCTCTAGTGACTAGACTAAAAAGTGGAGGCGGCACTGCTGAAAAAGAGAATAATGTTCTATTGTCGGCAGACAACCCCAGTCAACTGGAAGTTATTGAACTTGAGCATATTTTATCAAGAAATCAAATGTTTTCCATCTTGCCTGAATTTCCATTAGATAGCCTGCCAGGACCAGTAGATATTGGCCAAGAAGCTGTAGATCTAGGGCATGACTTCGTGCCAATAAAACTCCCATCACTGCTCCACGATCTGGTGTTACCGCATGCCATAAAAGTTTCCCATTTAGATGTTGGATGGCGCCCATCCGATGTGTCCGGCCTCAAACTGCCCAATTTCCAGACAGTCACAGCGAATCCTGGTGAGGAAAGTCTGCCAGCAGATGCAGATAGTGAACTGCAAAACCTTCATCACCTTCAGAGAGAAACTGATACAAATTCCAAGATAAACTTGGATGAAATTGCCTTGGAGAATGTTCCACAATCTATGCTTGGTCAGGTTAAACAGCATCCTCTCCACATATTCAATCCATTACCAGGAGTTCAGTTCTTCAGTGGGACACGTCCGTTCTGCGTGACAGATCCAGACTACGCGGCGCGTCCTGTCGACCTCGCCGCCGGCGAGACAAAGGAAGTAATGTCATCGTTGGAAACCTGGAAAAGCTTTGATTCGGTCACGTTCGACACGTTCTCACATATTCCTCGGTTGACGAACGTATATCTGCCGCAGTGGAGCGATCCATATGACGAGATGCTGCTTCCAAGGCATCCTCCTCCACTGCTGTCAGTCACATCCAAGGAAGTTCGGGATGCTAGCTTGTCTCAATGCACTTTGCAGGCAGTAGATCTCACTTTAGATACGGTGAGGGGAGAGTTTGCACTGCCCAGCAAAGAAGCCCAGGAGCAGACACCATTGTGGGGCACCGTTGAAGCTAGGTTAGCAGAGCTGTGTCAGCATGATGGTCACAGTCTTGCTGATGACTATGCGTTAATTGAGAGAGCACTGCATTTGGCACCAGACAAGTGACGCATGAATTCGTGCATTTCAAACCTGTAAATTAAGTTACTAATGTTAAAATATCAAACAACTATGCCAGACCTCTACTTAAATATTAGCTTATGGTGCTAGTAGGACTGAAGTCATGAAGTTCAGTTCTTGTTGGATATACACACACGGTGACAGATCTTTACTGATAGCTTATGTTACGAACTGGTAAAACGTCTTATAATATTGTGAAAGGAGGAAAATTATTGAAAATATAAGCTATCACATGAAAGATAAATGCATACTGTTATGCTGATTTGTTTCGCTGAGAGTGAATGTCTAGCATTACATGATCAGTCATGTCAGTACATGTCATATATATAGAGCTTCTCCAGTGTTTTGATGTGGGATTGCGACTGTGTGTGCATATACTATAGTTATACATGTGCATGTGTGTATTTATATATACGTATACGTATATCTCATACATATAAACAAGAGCATATTAAAAGGGCCTTCTTAATACGCTCTTGATATAAACGTTGTCTCTGCATACATGAACGTGTGTGAGCAGGTATGTAGTTTATATACAATCTTCTTCTTTGTCGTAGTCTCTCGCGGATGGTCCACGCTGAGACTACGACAAAGAAGAAGAAGATTATATATAAACTACATACCTGCTCACCGGTTGTGTGTGTTGTGCTGTGTGTGTGAAGGCGATAGCGCCTTAAGCTTTCATCTCCCCTCCCGTCGCCACGCACGCAGCGGCCAACGCACCGCACACACACATACACACTATTCGCGCGCCACGCGGCGCATCACATCTCGGATGATTATTGCCGAGGCATGCGCTCTCTAGGTTTGCCCATTGCAAAAAACAAGTCTAGTGCGGAGCATTAGCCCGTTCTAGTAGACACACTGCATGCGCCGATATGTTCGTCTGTGACATGCCGTGCGCGCAGCTCTCGTATCGGTCACAGCACCTTGCAGCTGTTCAATAAGGAATATATATGCTAAATAAATACCGAAACATCTATGTTATGACCAAAGTGATATATGGCTCTCCGTACTCTCTCTTTCGCTTATTATTGCCGACAATTTCCTGTAAATCCTCTGCAAATGCTGCTTCCTGCCCCAACGACCACATGATACACCGCATGCCCACGCGGCCGCCCACACTACATATATATTTTATGTCTTGTCGTGAATGCGTGGCGCGAGCTCTCCCTCGTACGTCGTTGTCGCTTCGGGTTTACCATGCGCGTATGTCGAGCCTGCCCTCACCCCCTCCCCCCTCAACCCCGTTCTATAGCAGGAGGATGTGGAGCCGAGGGTGGGGAATGCTGTTATCGGATGGAGGTGACGGAGGCAGGCGTGAGTGTAAGGTGGGAGGAGGTGAGGCGGAGGAGTGTGAGGGATGCTAGCCGAGGAGAGGAGGGATGCGGGAGGAGGGTTGAGCGGATGCTGGAAGACGGTGAGGATACTGGGATGAGGCGTGAGCATACTCTGTGGAGAGAGGCCGGGAGGATGCTGGGAGGAGGGAGGATACTGGAGAGGTGCATGGATATCTGGAGAATGTGGAGCGATACTGGGAGGAGGTGTAGGGATGCTGAGGCGAGGTGAGAGTGAGTATGCCTGGGAGAGGGCGAGGGATCTGCGAGGAGGGTGAGTGATTACTGGGAGGAAGGTGAGCGGATACTGGTTAGGAAGGTTGACGGATACTGGTGAGGAGCTTGAGGGATGCTCTGAGCGAATGAGGATGCGGAGGATGGTGAGCCGCGTGCTGGGAGGAGGGAGGGATGCTGGCAGGAGGTGAAGGAGCTGGGCAGGCGAAGTGAGGATGCTGGGATGGAGGTGAGGGATACTGGGAGGAGTGAGGATACTGGAGTACAGGATGCTGGAGGAGGCGTGGAGGGGTGGGAGGAGGCCCTACGGGATAACTGGAAGGGATTGAGGGATGCTGGGAGGAGGCGCTGAAGGGATGCGGGAGGAGTGTGAGGGATAGCTGCGGAGGAAGGGCCGAGCCCGGCATGTGGAGCGAGGGGTGAGCCGATTTACTGGAAGCTCGAGGATGAGGGATGCTGGAGGAGGGTGAAGCGGATGGCTCGTGAGAGGCTGAGGGATACGGAAGAGCATGCAGGGATGCTCCGGAGTGAGGGTGAGCGGATGCTGGGAGGAGAGTCAGGCGATCTGGATGGAGGGTGAGGATACGGAGGAGGGCTGAGGATACTGGAGAGGGCTGAGCGGATCTGCTGGGAGGAGGGTGAGGGATACTGGAAGGAGGCGTGAGAGCGGAAGGAGGATGAGGGATGCTGGGAGGAGGCGTGCAGGGATGCCTGCGAGAGGTGAGATTACTGTGGAAGGAGGGATGCAGGGATGCGGGGAGGAGTGGTGAGGGAGCTGGAGGAGGGTGCGGGATGCTGGAGGAGCGATGAGGATTGGTGGTAGGAGGGGGTGACGGATGTCTGGTGAGGGAGGGTGAGGGATGCTGTGCAGCGAGGGTGAGGATGCTGGGAGGAGGGTGAAGGGATACTGCGAAGGAGGATGAGGGC